AAGCAAGCCAATGTACGGCTGATTTCAGCCGATATACGGCTGAAATCAGCTGTACAAGCCTGAAGTGAATAGCCGAACAGTGTTCGGCTCACTTCACTTGGGGTCGGTTGTTCACTCGGCTGCCCTCGGCAGCTTAGTGAATAGACCCGTTAGTGTATCAGCAAGATTATTTTTATTATATTGCCACAGACAGAGTTGTATCTTGCAGTAGGTAAGCCATGTGGTTCTTCCCCAGGTCTGTAAGTTTGCAAATGATGTCCTGCACCAAAACTCATTAATCCCTTGAACTAAGACAATCCCCAAAAATGTGTAGTAATGTTCCTTTATGGCTCTAGCATCTCCAGTACATGGGAACACCTGAGGCTAGATCTGCTGTAGGATATCTAGTGTTTTATACTACCTGACAGAATTTTAAATCCTGATTCTTGGTATTTGTTGGACATAGTCTAAAGATGCAATCAGTTTAAGTGTTAAGGAGATTTCAGACTTGCCGTAAAAAACAAACAAAAAAAATCTCGTAAATAGACCCCTTAGTGAACACATCCAGTGCCTGTGTCTGTCCTTTGGGAACAGACCACATCACCCACAATAGGTTGCACAAATCAATGAAATTATGCAAATGGTATATTGATATATATCCCTCCTACCTTCACCCTACTCCCCCTTTTCATCTCACCCTTGTGTTCCTCCCCACCCAAACTCCATCCCTACCCCACCTTACCCTACCTCCCTCTCACTCCCTACCTCCCCACCCCCAAACCTTCCCTCTTTCATCCCCTACCCTATCTTCCCCCCAACATACTCTAACCTAATAACCTCTTCTAGTGCCCCATATCATCCCCCCACCAACACAAAAACACAACATAATGGAGATGGACAAGGCCACAAATATTTTACACCCCCATCACAGAATATACCTCCTCATTAGGCAACAAGCTTAATTATTCTACTGTTTTTGTAATCTCGGTTGGAGTTGTTATGTATATAGGATAGGTATCTTACCTTGCTGGGTAGAACAAAGTACTTGGTTATATGCCACTGTGACTGTAGACTACTTTATATGATATTCAATGAGTTAAATTACGTTTTTACAGTGATTTAAGGCAGTGCACACCTATTATTGCCATTCCCATCAAGTTTGCAATAGTTAGCCTATGCTAATCATAACTACTGAGCCACATTTACTTCTCAGGTTCTAATCTAGAAAAATGATAATTTTATCTGGTTGGCTGCTGTGGGCATCACCAGTGGCGGAACTACCGCCGGTGCAGGTGGTGCGGACGCACCAGGGCCTTGGGGCTCTAGGGGGCCCAGCGCCGGATCGGTACCCAGCGGCCAGCGGGCCCCCCATCTCTGCGCCGAGAGTGTCGGATCATCCGTTCATCCGACACTCCCGGC